TGTTTAAAAAGTAGTAGGAAAATTCTACTATCAATCAATTCGAATGAAAATTTCCTCAATTTCAATGATTTCTAAAAGGTAGGACGATGGGAAAGTATTAATTAAAAACTTGGTTTTTTCCTTAGCTTTCATGAATGAAACAGTACTAATTCTACAGATTTTTAAGGACCATAGCCACAGCTAATCGCTTCTTGAAAATCTAATGGAAAACAAAAAAGCAAAAGCTAACTGAAAACGAGTGGAATTCGAACCCTCGAGGGTTCGCCCCGTTGGCAAGAACACTAACACTCGGCTAAACTGGCAACCCGAGCCACCCGCTGAGAACGACTTACAATGCTTCGAAGCAAAAATCGGATTTCGCTGGGGACCGGAATAACCCTTTAAAAACTAATAACGGATTCGAATTCCTCATTTTCAAAAACCCCTGATTTCAAAATTTCAGCCCAATCGGTTTCGAATAAGTGCTAAATTCACGTAAGGTCCACCGGTGGGCCGTATCGTTGATTAGTTGCGATTAGTTGCGTCCTTGCAATTAAACTCGTGTTACTTTAAAAGTCAGCTTTTAAAAGTTTAAAGTTCAAAGTGAGGTCGACGTTAAGGTCATGGAAATTAGTCATATCCTTGAGATTCATCATCGGCGTTGGTGTAACCTTTTTCTTGTTTATCGGAAATGAGCAATATTCATTTTTAGACAACGGTAATTATCGGATTTCTGGCAGGCGGTGTGTTGGTGATTGTGATTCCATTTCTTCTTGGAATCATAAAACAAGGTAAGGAGGGGTAATCTAAAGATTTGCTGACGAGCTGTTCTCTAGAAGAATCTTTTGTGGAAAGATTAGAAAACAAAACAAAAAAATGGAAGCTTTTTCAAAAAGTACAAGAATAAATCGTGATGAAATTTACTTTTTTTGAAAGAACAAATCCTCATAAAATTATGCAGTTTTGGGAAAGAAAGTCTTTCTTGAAATAAAATTAAATAAAAAAGTGAAATGAAAATCCACAATCCACAGAAAGATTGATTAAAAACAAAGCTATTGGGTTGTCCAGTTATGAATTACTATTTTGTAAATTTCTCAAGATATCGAACAGATGTATATGAGTGTTATATATCATTCGAAAGCTGAAGATCTCCTCTACATTTTGGAATAAACAAGCTTTTGAATTCATTCAACTTTTAGGGAGAAATTGACTGCACAAAGGGAGAGGTCGTTTTCGAAAAAACCCATTCCAGCTTAGCTATTCCTCAAGTTTTATGGTGTAAAATAGCCGCCCAGAAAAGAAAAGAAAAGTAAAGATGCTCTGAAATTGGTATCTTTTTTAAAAAAGTTGTGTTGATAAATCTATTGGCCAAACATCAAACGGTTAACTCAATTTGAGCGGAGCCAAAACTTGATCCAAAGGCACCCTTCCATTTTTGGCCACCTCTTCTTCTGTGCAGTCAATTTGCCCAAAAGCTGAACAAATTCAAAAGCTTGTTTATTCCAAAATGTAGAGGAGATCTTCAGCTTTCGAATGATATATAACACTCATATACATCTGTTCGATATCTTGAGAAATTTACAGAATAGTAAAAAGCGCGCATTCATAACTGGACAACCCAATATTTCTGTATCGGACAAACCCTTTCCAAATTGAAATCTGATGTTAAATCCAAATCTCTTAATGTAGTGAAAGAATTTTTACAATTAGCATCTTCCTTTCAAAATTAATTAATCGTAATTTAGACATGAATTTCTACGGATTCATTGTGATGAGTTTAAACGGGATTGTTGCTACTCCAATGTGGATTGCTTCTTGTAAAAGTTATCGGGATTTTATTCGTGAAATCCTATGGAAAGGTAGGAATTTTTGGTATTTTTATAGTTAGCGTTCAGTGTCAACTTTCATTCAAAGTAGTGGATGTAAGTATCAGCAAGTATACTGGATTTAATGCTAGCTTTCAAAATTTACATTTATATCAGAAAGTTTGAAAGTTTTTGAGGACTAAAATGCACATTTTGCGAACTTTGCTGGCAAGTTGTTAATAGAAAATTTTGCAAGTGTTAGGCTTACCGTAAATACTGTAATAGTACCCCACCCCTCGTACAGTCGCGTAGTCGCAAAAGTTTTTTAGTATTTCGTTTTTTTCAAAGCGCCTGTATCTTTCAAAAAAAAATAATAGCCTTGGTATCAAAAATAGTTGAAATTCAAGGCTATTTTTTGATACCCAAACGAGCATTGTAGCATAAACCAGTGTCGAGAAAAACGCGTCTTCAAAAGCTAGACGACGCAACACTCCACACCCGTCATTATGGGGGTGGGCAATTATTACAGTATTTGCAGTAGTTGCGGAGTCTACGGCAGGAAAGCCTCAGCTCGTGTTAAGCTCCAGCTTGTGCCAAGTGCTCAGCTGTTAAGCCCAGCTGGTGCTGGGCCCAGCTGTTGGGCCTCAGTTGTTGGCTGAGCCCTCAAGCCTCAGCTCTGTTGTAAGCCTGCAGCCAGCCAGAGCCTTAAGCCCAGCTTGCTAAGCCTGGGTTGTTGCTGAGCCTCAAGCCCAGCTGTTAAGCCTCAGTTGCTGCTGAGCCCTCAAAGCCTGGCTTGTTAAGCCTGTTGTTCGCCTGAGCCTCGCCCGCTGGGTTGGGTTTCTCTCAGTTGTTAAGCCTGCTGTTAAGCTCAGCTGTTGGGCTCAGCTCTTAAGCTCAGCTCTTAAGCTCAGTATATATAAATGCAAAAATAACAGTCAACGATGCTACTTAGTATAGGTAGTGGATCATAATCTGCTGCACTTTTGATTCCCTTTAGAGGCAAACTGACTCTATTCCCAGCACCTGCCCTGTCCTGCTTCATCGTATCGTAGTCAGCCCAAAGTCAAAGCTGAAGCTCTTAGCTCTAGTATAACTTTCAAAATTAGCTCTCAAGAGTCCGCTAACAAGATCACCAATCCATGAATCGTCTAAATTCTTTAATCACTCAAATCCAGCCTTTCCTCTACTGGTCGATCCACCAAAGATCACCGTAGCCGATGTCTCATCAATCACACATGCATCGGCTGCTTAATAAGGGAAATCATTGCAAATCCCGAAGATTTCTGTCACAAAACCGGACAAAGCTCGCCCACGGTCCGGTCGATAAATAAATTTCTTTGATTGCATGCTTTGAAACAAGAATTGCTTAATGGTCAAACATTTTTTCTGATCAAAAACTTGCAGACCGTCTCCAATTGTGGAAATCTCAAACATAGTGGATATCAAAAATCTCACAGACTGATTTAAAAAACTTCATTTCCAAATAGTTCAACTTTCTCACGCAGAAATGGATTGGAAACTATATATATTCTTGTGATGAATATCGTGCATTGGATCTCATTTCCGTTGAGTTGCTGTAGCGATTTATTGCATTCTTTTTCAATTCTTCGAAATTCACTGGCCATCTACAAGAGATTTTGCTGTATCATGAGGTAAAGAAGATCAATTTGTTGCTATCAAATAGCGTTTTGAGAAAAGGATTTTTGCTTGGCTTGGCTTACAAACTGGACAAATCATTTTCTCAAAAGCGAACCAGAATTTAGAAAGAGAAGGAACCAAATTCCTAGAGATAAGGGTGAAGCAAATTTGAGAGAGATAAGGCAAAGCAAATTTAGAGAGACAAGGAAGCAAGTTTAGAGAAATAAGGAACCATAATAGGAAAGAGAAGGGACCAAATTCCTAGAGATAAGGAATCAAGTTTAGAGAGAAATAAGGAAGCAGAGTTTCAAAATTAGAGTAGATATGGGACCAAATTTAGAGAATACGATAAGGAACCAATTTTAGAGAGATAAGTAACCAAATTCAGAGAAATAAGGAACCGAATCCCTACTGAACCTAGTTTTTATTTTGTCGACCTTGCATCTTGTATTGAAATTTTTGTAGACTTTGTGTTTTCTATTTTGTGATCTAACTGAATTGAATAGCTTGACCGTCTTTTTGAATTCCCTTTATTCTGTGAGTATCAAAGTTCTTAGACAAAGAAATTCATACTGATCATTATTTCCTAGCAGTTTAGTTTCTAACAGTAAACTGCCAAAAAGTTCTCCTCTCTGTTTCTCTGCTACCAATAAAGCAATTTCTTTTCTGAGAAGTTTACAAAATAAGATTTTGTGGATTCAAAACTGAATGAAATGAAAGTTTGAGAATGAATGAGAATACAAAACTAGCATTTTCAAACCTAGCTGTTTAGATGTCGTTGTGATCTAACTGAACTAGTTTAGATGTCGGATGTGACTAGAAAATGGATAGAGCCTTGAAAAATGTGATTCAAGAAACGATTTTCAAATCCAGGCTTACAATTTTATCAAATTTTAAAGACTCAACTTCTTAGCGCATTATTCACTACTTTCCCTTTCTTCTTTCTCTTGATAGAATACCGTATTTACTCTATTAGTGGGGTCCTCTCTAATAGTGGGGTCGTCTGGAGGGGTTGAAAAAATAGTGGGGTCCTCTCTAATATTGGTAACGAAAGTGATACATCAATTGTTGATCTCTTGGATTAGTTCTTTTACTGTTTGTTAATGTTTTGTTACGGTTAAAGCTAAATAAAATATGAAGCCAAACTTGTTTTGTCAAGAATTTCGGAGAAAAATTGATATCTTTTCAATTTAAAACTTTGGTTTTATGTCCTTTTAAATTTCTCTAATAGTGGGGTCCTCTCTAATAGTGGGGTCGTCTGGAAGGGATTGAAAAAATAGTGGGGACCCCACTAATAGAGTAAATACGGTAGATGATAGATCTTGCGTGATAAAAAAGTGCAGAAATTGGCAAGGAAAAGTCGATTTCCAGAGATGAAAATCCCTGTGTTCACTATCAAAGAGTCTTTTGTTACTTTAATGTTTTCAGTTACTTTCAGTTATCGTCAATGCTTTTCGAGATGACAATGTGTGAATTGGGAGTGCCCGTTCTCTATCTTCCCGATGCGATCGGTTTCGCCGAAGGATGGCTCAACTTTTTGCCCGTTCAATATCCATTTGTAAGTGCAGGGAAACAAACTAAATAAAGAGAATAGACGATAGATCTTGCGTAATAAAGAAGTGCAAAGAATTGGCAAGGAAAAGTCGATTTCCAGAGAAGGAATTGAATCCTCGACCTTTTTCTTTGCTAACCACTGGTTTCCAATATGGTTTCAATATGGTTCCAATATAGTTCCAATATGGTTCCTTTGAGGAATTCGGTTCCAATATGGTTCCAATATGGTTCCTTTTAGGAATTCCGTTCCAATTTGGTTCCAATATGGTTCCTTCTAGAATTCGGTTCCAATATGGTTCCAAATATGGTTCCTTTTGAGGGATTCGGTTCCAATATGGTTTCTTCCAGGAATTCGGTTCCAATATGGTTCCAACCAACCAGCTATCCGGGATCTTAACTAGTCAAGAGAAAGAAGAAAGGAAATGAATAAATGATGAGAGAAGAAGTTGAGACTTTAAAATTTGGCAAAAATTGTAAGCCTTTCTTGTTTTGGATTTGAAAATCGTTTCCAAGGCTCTATTCGCTCTAATGTTGTGTCTGACAGCGGTGAGCGGAATTCATGCGATGGTCTATCGACAACAACAAGTAAACACGATGATTTGCGAATTTGATGACTTGTTTTCATTTTTCAGTTACTTCCTTTCGAGTCAAAGCTAAAGTTGATGAATTGGCAGTTGTGGTTATTCCTGGATTTTTGTCTACATCTTTTTCATTTTCCCTCCACCATTAGCTGGCTTTCTTCTAACTTACACGAATCGAGCAGGTGAAATGGTGTCGGTTGGTTTTCAACTTAAAATACCATCAATACAAATTGCATTGAATTTAATGTACATATCGTTGTATGTACATTTCATTGTATGTACATTTCATTTACAATAGTTTTTACACAACGCTATAGTTAAAAAGTTTAGTTGATGGCTCCAGAAGTGGTTGAAGTCTATCACTCGAATCCAGAGCGAGTGTTCGCCTATGAATTCCATGGGAATACCTACGTTTGTAAGTGAAACTCTACTTTAAGAAGAAATCTTGGGTTTTCGATTGTACCAGAGTTGTTTCAAAGGCAATATTGCGGGCCAAGAAGTCGGTCTTAAAGATCATGATCATGGTCTTACTTCATTGATTTACGTTAACGTCTTATCTAGTCTTAAGGCCAAGCTTGGACCTGGCTGGTCTGGCTGGCCAAGCTTGGACCTGGCTGGTCTAGTCTTAAGGCCAAGCTTGGACCTGGCTGGTCTGGCTGGCCAAGCTTGGACCTGGCTGGTCTGGTCTGGCCTAGCTTGGACCTGGCTGGCCTAGCTTACAGGTTTAAGACTCGATTTGAACCTGGCTTCACCCTAAAAGCGTAAATTCTCAATTCTTGAAACAATTTTAGTAATCGTCGTCTCCACTTACTTGATCTAGCACAACCGGTTTAGGGAGTCTTATCAACATTTTTCCTCTCCTCAATGATCTCCGGCTTGACGTGAGTTTTCTGTTAGATGTTAAGATTAGAAAGTCGATTTAAACTTAATTTAGCGCCTACACAGTGCACCTCAGTCCGCAACAAAAACGCATTCAAAAGGAGATCATTCTTCTCTTCGCCGTTCATGTAAGCTTCATGATGGTTTTACTTTCCTGTTTTTATGAAATCTCTTGGTTGAGTGATAATATTGGGTTGGTGGAAAAGTCCTTTCCGATTTAAAGTACCTTAAAGAGTACCTTAAATTTGTCGAATTTTGACGTTTTATAGCTCATCCTAAAGCTGAATTCAAGACGAATCGATTGGTAAAAACCGTTTTGAGATACCTCTTTTCTAAAAGTTTTTTACAGCTATTTTTAGTAAAGGGCGACAGAGCCAAAAATGGCTGTTTTCACGTTTCGTTAGTTTTCCGTGCAGAAACCTAGGCTAAAAACATGTGTTTCGTGATCAGCGTCAAAAATAACCCCTAGACACGCATTTTCAGAATCTTAGCAAAAATTTTTTGACAAATATTGTCACCGGTGGAAGTCGAACCAGCGACCCTCAGATCAATAGCCTTTCCGCCGCGATTTCGCGATTTTCATTCGTTTTTCTCTTTTTTTGTTTTATCATTTTTTTGATGTTGTTAGAAGGCTTTTTTCGGGAATTTTTCACGAAATCGTTGAAACCAATTCCGGATAGTTCGTTCGGTCACGAAATCGGGTCCATAAACGTCAATAATCTCTCGATGAGCCTGTGCGGCATTGGGTTTTCGGTTGAATGCATACAAAAAACAGGGTGTCACTGGTGCTCCTCCGATTTAACTACAACGACATTCCTGAATTCAAACGAGCAAAGAATTAGATTGATTAAAGTTCAATTCAACTCCAGTAATTGTTCAACTCAATAGATATTTTGTCACCTCAGTCCCGCAAACAAAACGCATTCAAAAGGAGATCATTCTTCTCTTCGCCGTTCATGTAAGCTTCATGATGGCAGCCGTTTACTTTCCCGTTTTTATCAAATCTCTTGGTTGAGTGATAATAAATTTGATTTTTTATACTAAAAATTTAAAAGTAGATTTTGATTAAGAAGAGTTTAGTGAATAAAATTTTTAATAATTTTGAAAGAAAATGGAATGAGTTACATCCGAAATAAAAAGACAGAAAAACAAAAAGAAGAATTATTTTAGCAGAAATAAATGTAAAAGAATTTTGATTGGAAATATTTCAACTCTAGCTGTAAAGTAGAATATCAATTGTAATACTGAAGTGCTTTTTACAGAACCTTCTTTCCAGATTGCAATATCTGTGTGAATAAGAGATCTCTTTCCCTTTCCAAATCCACCATTTTCTTCTTTGCACCTAAAGCTAGGCTAAATTCGGACTTAAAAATGACTTAAAAAGAAAAAGATGATCTACTGTCCTTATAATAAAATGACTTTCAAGTTTTAAATTCAAATTTTTTAATAAAAAAACCTTTCAGACGTCAGTGATTGCCGGTTTTCTCGCTGGCGGTGTCTTGATCGTTTTGACGCCACTTTTGATGGGCATCCGGCAGCAAGGTAAACCAATAATTACTTCAAAAAGCTTTATGAAGTTCAATTCTTATTTTCTGATTACTTTTTCTAAAAATTTTCTTCTAAAAATGATTGCAGAGATGAACTTTTACGGGATAATTTTCATGAGTCTGAATGGGATTGTAGCGACTCCAATGTGGATTGCTTCTTGTAAAAGTTATCGGGATTTTATTCAAAGATTGATTTCAAGAGGTAAGAGTCCAAAAAAATGTTAAGCAAATGATTGAATTTAATGATTAAATTTGAATTCTGGTTTGTATTTGAGTATTTGATAATATTGTTGATTAAATTGATAAGCTGGGTTCATTGATAGGCTTTTACTTTGCATTTAAAAATGAAAACCCATTCTTTCTAATGTAAATTTCTCATTTGCAAGTACAAATTGCTAAGCGATAAAGAATTTCGTCCGCCAGAAAGGGTGCGTTTTCAGTTGGCCTAGATTTACCTAGCTTAGATCAGCTTAGATCTGAATCAGTCGAAAGATGACTATGCAATTGTACAGGGTGACCAAGAATTACCGCAACACACAAAATGCCTGGCACAAAACAACCAAATATGCAACCCATCTCAAAATGTTAACTTAAATATCTTTCTGCCGCTTACGCTGCCGCTTACGCTGCCGCTTACGCTGCCGCTTACGCTGCCGCTTACGCTGCCGCTTACGCTGCCGCTTACGCTGCCGCTTACGCTGCCGCTTACGCTGCCGCTTACGCTGCCGCCACCCTTACGCTGCCGCTTACGCTGCCGCTTACGCTGCCGCTTACGCTGCCGCTTACGCTGCCGCTTACGCTGCCGCTTACGCTGCCGCTTACGCTGCCGCTTACGCTGCCGCTTACGCTGCCGCTTACGCTGCCGCTTACGCTTATTTACGCTTCCTTACGCTTACTTACGCTTCCTTACGCTTCCTTACGCTGCCGCTTGAGCTCAACGATCGATTGTCGATGTGGAGACACTTTCACCATTCCTGAAAACAACTAATGTATTGAAAGCTAGTGATCATACCATAAAATAAGAAAAATGCACAAAATCATAAAAACAGGTAAGCAAAAAGTGAAATGAGGCTCATAACATAATACGACGTTGTTGCGGTAATTCTTGGTCACCCTGTAAAGGTGGTCAAAGTTCAAGTTTGGTAATCAATTTAAACTATTTAAATATAACTAATGCTAACTTTAACTTAATTAACTAATTAACTAACTAATTAACTAACTAACTAACTAACTAACTAATTAACTAAACTAATTAACTATAACTTTAACTAATCTAACTAATCTTTTTAACCATTCCCTTTTCAGCATTTCCAAAATTGGTCTCACGATCAACAATCATCGAGACAACCTACACAAAACATTCGACACTTGTTCAACCAATGCAAGAGAAACGAGAAACGAGCAATAGTAATAATTATAGAAATCTAGGCATAATCTAATCAACAATTTAATATCTAATTTAAATTTTGCATTATAAAATCAAAATATTACTCGCTTTTGTATATAGTGGTCACTATTACCCCTTAGAGCTATAACTGGCAAGATTTCTTTACTTTATTTACCTAATAAAGTTTACTTTGATGTTAAACTTTAACATTATTACTATTTGAATGACACTTGTGATACAATATGTACACTTTTCTCAAATAAAATCTTTATGAGTTTTCAAAAATCAAACCAGAAAGCATAGTGGCTTAACACCTACGCGCTTTTGCACGTAAAAACCATAAAACCATAAAACCATTTGTTTTATTTCGAGTGGAATTGAGCGAAGATACGTGCGTCGATTGCGGGGAAATGGATTGAGATCGGAGATAGAACTTTTATCCCCTCAAAAGAAAATAAGTATAAAAGATCAGCCAGCAAGGCGAGTCATTTGATATCTTCATCTTCTCGCTGAAAAATGAAAAACTTGGCTCTAATTTTACTACTCTTGGTTTTTGGCTATCGTTTTTGTTGATGGTGAGTATTTGCTTATATTGAAAGAGGCTAATTTTAAATCATAAAGGCTTTAAAAATCGACCTCACTAAAAAAGCAAAAAAGGTTTAAACAAATTAAACCCGAGTTTCAATTGGTAGCCTCAATAAAATAGCTTCAATCTCCGGAATCTCCAATCGTTTTTGAGCTATGCTCAAATTCTTGGTATCAATTTTTTGCCTTAAATTTGCCTCTATTCTTGACAAAATTGTTTTGATGGCATTTTTGATCGAAATTCCTCATCCCTGCTAATGTAATTCTAAGATATTAAACCCGATATTTTGATTTTTGAGAATCAATCTCAATTCAGACCCCTCCAATGTGACCCTAGTCCGGGTTTTTTTACAACAAGTTTGATTCACAAAAGCCCTTGAGATAGTTGAGCTTTAGATCTGAGCTCTCGTCCGTCCCTGGCTTGAACCCTTTAACCCAACCCAGTCTGGCTTTGCTGCCTTGTCCCTGATCCCTGTTTCAAACAAATCTTTCAGCCGGCCCGAGCCCGGCTCACATTCGAGCGGCACGATCACACTCTCATGGATCTCACGGTCATCATCATCATAGGTGGAAGAAGGGGAGGATGGGGACATCACCATGGAGGACATCACCATGGAGGAGGACATCCGGGGAGGTGGATGGGGAAGAGGCGGACGCAGGGGAGGCGGAGGAGGGCACGAACATGGAGGGTGAGTACAAGATTTCGAGCTTGATAATTTCTACAATCAATGCAATCATAATCTGTTCGATTTAGACGATGGGGATAAAGACCGTGATACTCGAAAGCTATTTGGATTTAAGTAGACTGAATAAATCTTTTCTTGACAACTCAAGAGTTTTACTTTAATTACACAATGAAGTGTAGCAATGATGCATTCAGTGCACCCGAAAGGGTACTTCTACAATCTTAAACACAAAGTACAGCAAAAATTAAACAGCAATTCTACTAGATTCATCTGTACAACGGTTGTTTTTCGGTTTTCCAGGAAATAGACGGAATAGTTTGTTTGAGTTTTGATGTGTTGATGACGGGGGATAGAAAAATTATCAAATTTTTGGTATAAACAAAAATTGGTGCTATAAATGCTCAGGCAAAACACTCGAGATCTTCCAAATAAACAGCAGAAATGAAATTCCTTATACTTTTGATGGTATTTCTCGTGTTGATGGCAATTCTTGTTGAAGGTTTTTTTTTAGAAATTGAAAGAGATTTGAAGGGGAAAGTTTCATAAAGGCAACTTTATTACTTGAGTACTTTGTGTTGAAGAAGCTAAACCTTTCCAGCACAGTCATTCTTCATTTTTAATGACAATGTTGAAAAAGTGACGTGCACCAGAAAGGGTGAGCTTACGATAAGCGAGCCCAAAGTACATCCCAAGTTTAAGAAAACTTTAAAGATCATATCTGGAATGTCAGAAA